GGGGTTGTTAAAGGGAATTGCTGGCCTGGCTGAATAGGCTAGGTCTTCTGTTCCCCTGTAAAGGGGTTGGGGCTGCTATGACGGTGGGAAGGAATCAACTTGATCTGAATTGGAAAAAGCTTCCTGGATGGAAGCGAAATGTCTTCAAACTTGGAAACAAAGTCCAGTGGATTGTTTTCTAACTGTTTTGGAATGACTATGATCTGGATAACGAAGAATCTTCACCTGATGTAGGACTGCAAGATTCATCAGATTAAACACGATACATTAATTGGTGAAATAATCAGAAACTATTTTAGTCTTCAATTGTTACCTGCAGCATACAGACGCTGAAACATGCCATTAGCTGAGGATGAAATTAAAAAATCTCAGCAAATCCAGCGTGCAAAGAGAAAGTGACATTTTGGAGGCCAGTAGAGAGGCAGCTGATGCTGGATTGATGGTGAATCAACCAGTAAAGGCTGGGCTTTGTTAGAACTTCGTCATTTTTTTAATCTGCAGATTAAAGTTGCACCGATCCCGGGCTGATCCCTGCTTCCTGACATGTGAATTTGCCAAATACAGGATTTCTTTTTTAATATATAACCAACACTCTCAGTTATAAGATCACAAAGCAACTTTAACATTTCAATCTTATTTTACTGAAAAACATTGATCAGAACCGTTAAACTGCTCTCAAATATAAATCAAAGTTTAGAGCAGCGACAGAGTATTTTTATATCAGACCATTGCAGAGGAAAAGATCAGTTTCAAATCGAAGTATCGGCCGATCTAAAATCGATCACTTCCTACTGCAGATGAATCCTTTACTACGGAGTTCAAAGTTTATACTAAAGATATCAATCAAGAACAAGATGTCATGTTATGTAAACGAAAGGCTGATTTTAAAAACAGGAATAAAACAATTTGCTTATTTTCTATCGTCTTTATATATTTCTATTAGATATCAAATAAGCTATTAAATATATTCAGAATACAGCCATTTTTATGCAATCAATTTTTAGAATAATCATCAGAATGTTGAATTAATGAAATGAGTGTTAGCTGCAGTTCCAAACAGCTGTGATCATATGTCCACCTGTTTAGGACGTTTTTGAAGACAAAACTAATCGTCTTTCAGGGCAGCAAAGAGAAGCATGAAAACCATCAGGAAGATATTAGTTTAAAAACAAAAAGTACGACACCCAAAAACAAAAATCCTCCCAAGAATTCATCAATTGAGAAGACATATTTATTGGTCTTCCTATAAAAGAGGGATATAGCAAATGTAAATAAGTGGTGATATCATTTTGATTCAACCAAACTGCCAAATGTGTCAGGGCTGATCCAACAACAGACACTTTCAAAATAGAATTAAAAAGATAGAAATCTGCGTGTTAAAGCTCAAAAAGAGGTATTTGGGATTTCTATCGATTGAATAAAAAAAAACAAAAAAAAAAACAACAGACGCCAGCTTTGGAGCTGCTTCAGCACCAGAGGAGTGGGAGGAGGATATGAAGGGAAAGGTTTCTCATGCATATCCGCCCATTTCACATTTAAAAGTGAACCAGAAAAAAAAAGGAAACCAAAACAAGAAGATCAATGTGTTTGAGTAAAATAAACTGCTAGGATTAGTTCCTGTTTATAATGTCAAACTAGCAAACCGGAGGATTACATAAAAATCCGGCAGCTTTCCCACAAAACAGACAATATACAATTAGAGCCGCCTGGCAGGTAATTAGTCTGACTACAAAGTCGTCATTTACTGGATACCGTAAATAAAGGCTGAGCAACAAACGCAGATAAATGCTCCAGATTTCAGCCTCTTCACTCTTCATAAGCAGCATCAAATATTTAGGCGGCAACATTGAATTTTTCATTGAGGTAACTGTGAGAAGAGAAGAATGTCTGGAATTACCTAATCGGTTAAGTCTTTCACTAATGCACCAAAGAGCCAATGAAACAAAGAGTGAAAACAAAAACGTTAGAGGCCCGTTTGTCCATTATTCTCTTTTGAAATCAGCACAGATCAAATCATTTTCTATTGAAAACAAATTACTGTCATAACCAGGACTCAGTTTGAGAGGACCCTTTTTAGGAAAATAGGATTTAAAAAATCCCAGCGATGCCTCACATCTCAGAAAAACATCAAATGAAGCAGTGAATTATTATACTACTGCTTTAATTAACCTCCTGGTGTTAATTTTCATTTATACGTTAATGTCTTTTAATAATGTTAAACATAATAATCCCTCAGATTTTTTCTGTTTATCTTCAAAACTAATTTTATTGTCAAAACTAAAAAAAGTAAAAATAACTTATAAAGTGTTGATTTTACTTATTAAAGGGAAAAACGCTTTGTCAAACCAATCTGAGTGGGTATGACAAATGTTCATCAGTGTTTCTATAAAGTCTCTGCTTACTAGAAACAAGCCTTTTAAATTGTGGTAGAGAAATGTTAACACTTTCTTTTGTTGCAGATTTTTTGGTGAAAAGTCATATTTAGGGGTGTAAACAATAATCGTTTTGTATCGATGCATCAATCCAACTGCCGACGATCCGATGCATCGACACGTCCACAAGAGTATCGATTCATGCTATTTTTTATCCATTTGCTCCTGGATGTAATTCTGACTCCCACACTGCGGAGGCGCTAAACCTACTTTGCGCTCCTACCTCGCTTCCTTTAGCCACTACCCTATTTCCACTTGCAGTATTTTTTGATGCAAGTCCTTTCAGAATCTATAACATAGAGGCATTATTGTTTTTCATTGAATGAGGTTTTCATAGGCCTAGGTGGAGAACACCTTTGCTACTTCTGCTTTCTGCTGTTGTTTCTCAAATACAACGCATAAAGAGATTATAGCCTTCTTTGATTTATTTCAAATTTGAAACATTGTCCAGCCTGTAAGTAGCCTGGGTGCCATTCCGAACTTAGTCCCGCCCACAAGGTTTGAGGTCGGGAAGTTTGGTCTGGCTCTGCTCCATAGTAGCGCGAGTATGATCGCCCACCCTCAGGCGATCCAATCAAATTGTCAGGGCGGGCTTTATACGATGATTGACAGATGATCAACAGTAACGTAATCAACCACGTCACCAAAGCGCGCTTAGGTGACAACAACAATGGCTGCCGCCGGAGAGTTGAGGTGTGTAGATTCTGCTATTAGGTCTGTTCTAGAAGATATCGACAGCAAATTAATTTTAAAAGAGGAACAGAGAAACGCGATCAAGGCTCATCTTCTTATTCTAGGCGTGCAACTGCACGCTTTGATTTTTGTTGACAACAACTATGCGTCGCTTAACATACGTCACGCACTCCGTTGCTCTTATTGGTTGTAGGTCTATCCAATTGAGTGCAGAGGCATTTTTTTTCCTGGTTCGTTCGAAACACGCCCCATAATCACAGCTCTATGGAGCAGCATCAGACTTATTCTGACTAGGATTGAGTAGGACTACGTCAGGCTAGCCTGCAAGGTAAAAAACAATGGAATCGTATCGTGGTGTATTCTTGAGTATCGAAAATAATCCAATCGTTGGGTCAGGAAATTAATACTGAATAGAATCGCCGTGATGGGTGTGATTTACACCCATAAACATAGTCATTCCAAAAAAAAAAGTTAAAAAAAACAATCCGCTGGACTTTGTTTCCAAGTTTGAAGACCTTTCGCTTCCCATCCAAGAAGCTTTTTCAATAAAAAATGAATTCTCTGTTTAGAAAAAAAAAAAACATTTTTGAACTGAAAAAGCTTCCTGGATGGGAAGCAAAATGTATTCAAACTTGGAAACAAAGTCCAGTGGATTGTTTTATTTTTATTTTTTTTACCATTTGATGGTGGACTTATTGGATTGCTTTGTATTCAGGATTTGATCTGCATGACGTGCACATGAGCTTAAGGTGTCAAACTGATGGTCGAATAGTTTAAAAAGACATATATATAACGGAAAAATCTAAATTGCTTTGATGATTGATTAGTGTATCATATAGCATAAACGATGTTGGCGGACTCCAGGAGGATCGCTCAAAATTTAAAGTTCTAGAAGAAATCCTGAAAAGGTTCACCACTGTGCAAAGTTTTCACTCTTAAATGAATGATGGCCACTACCAAAGCCCTACTGAAATGACTCTGTTCCGCTCAAAAGGTATGGCTTTATAAGCCTGCTTCATGTCGTCAGACAGTTTCTTCCACAGCTTTAGATAGTATTTACCTCTGGCTGTGGCTACTAAAGTAGAACTTAGTTTTCCAAAAACTGGGTTTAAGCAGACAAACAGTTTATGCAGGATTAAGAAAATAAAATCCCAATCATCTGCTTTGACTCTATGGTGAATCTGACTATCTTGGTCAGATGGTCAAAGGAGTTTAACAAGCCTGACAGGAAATAAAGCCAATTTAAGAAATGTTTAATGGCAGAGAATCCCATTTCCCAGCACTTTGTGTTATAAAAAGCTGTATTATCACAGAGCTATTATTGGAAACAACACATATATGCTGTTTTTATTAAACCAAATTCAAGAACAACAGTAAAAAAATAAAAATATTTTAAAAAGCTAGATGATAAATGGATTATCTGCTTTGAAAAAGGTCGGATTTTGAAAAAAGAAATCCTTAAAATATGCTACCGTTAGCTGCTAGCCTATGTGTTAGCATGGAGCTAACGGTCCGTTAGCCCAGTCGGTATATCCATCTTCTAACAACAATGGCTGTCGCCTGTGTTCGCACCATAACAACAGAACCAGGCCGAAGGAATAAAATAAAAATAGAATAAATAAAAACCGGTGACAACACGCGAGGAACAACATATCGGCTTCGGTTTACAGCCACAAACTGCGGGAATCCCGCTCGGCTTTGACGCAACGTATCTTTTGTTAGCTTGAAGCGAGACGGTAGAAAAGGGTGCAGTCCTGCTTACAACAAGCAGGCCCCGCTGCTCATCCTCCCTCCCGTTAGCTAACGGGCTCCCAGCCGCTACTGCTGCTGCTTCACCCGTTCCTCCCAGATTCTCCCCCTCCCCGCCTAAAATGTCCCCCACTCACCTTGGGTGTAGCTTAGCAAGTAAACGAAGAGGAAAACTTTAAGCGGTAGCAAAGGTGACACATCCATTGTTAGAGCATTGATGCCGTTTTCACTTAATTGTCCTCTTCAGGAAGGCGCAGACGCCCTGTGTGTTTATTGCAGCTTCCTCTCATCGCCTGCTCTCTCCTGCTCCAGCGTCGTGACGTCACACGCAGGGTGGCTGGGATCTCCCCCCCCTCCCTCCCGGTTATTATCTGAGCCTGGATGGGTTTCAGCTCTAAGCATGGGGGGGATGGGGGGTGTTAACGACAACCTTCACCAGATAACATCCATCATTACACACATGACATTTAAATCAAAAAACACTATTTTATATCGTTTGATCCTACAAAAAGCTTATTAAAATGCAGTTTAAATAGAGAGTACTGTACAACAAACCCAAAATATCAACAAATTCAATTAAAAATTATTTTAAAAATGGATCGTCCTGGAAACCACAATCAACTACAACACAAAGGAAGCTCAGTTCAGTTCATTTTATTTCTATAGCTCCAATTCACATCATGTCATCTCAAGGCGCTTCACAGTTCAACAGATCATCCAGTCAGATTGATTCTAAGTTTTCTGTCTAAGGAAAACCAGCTGATTGCATCGACTCATTGACTCTTCAGCAATCCCTCACACTAAGCATGCTTG